GACAACAGCCAACGGCTCAGCACCATCCCGGTGCCCCAAGCAATACGCTCCTCAGTGGACCACCAGCCACATCAACCTCAACTCCCCGTTCAGCGTCACTGACATTACCATCAAACCCGAACGCGTTAGCCACGAACACTATCCCCGCACTAGAGACACAGCTTACTCGCCTCCGCCAGTACTCTGAAGAAGTTCTTTCACTCTCCCTGTACGACTCTCACAGGCTTCTCCAGGATGAGATACAGCGACTAGAGGGTACTTTATTACTAGCTAAAAAGGACCGAAGTGAACGGGTCCTTCGCAACTTGGAAGTAGAATTCCCAACACTGAGAAATATCCACGAAGGTCTCAAACGAGAGGCCGCACGACTCGGTTACTTTTAACCAAGAATCGAAACAATCAAACAATATTCTTTCATACCAGTCACGACACGAATGAATGCGACTACAGACTTGTCTCTATTACTATTTCTTTTGCTATGCGATAATGACTGGACCACGATAGATATGGATGGAAGGAATGGGATGGATTGGATTTATAAACTCATGCGCTACATTTACAATCTTGGATTGACGGCTGGACTATACTAACTGGATTTTTCTTTTTTTTTTGTTGTTCTCCTTACGCCCTTCTTTTTTTACGGCTCTTGTTCTATACCTTGTTCTCACTTTCTTTCGTTCTGAACAGTGGACTGCCGGGTGCTGTCTTCCGCCTGTTTTAGCTACCGCGGCGCGATGCTTTCGATTCTTGATGAACATGGCCATGGTTAAGTTATTTGTTTTGATAGATGTTGTTCTTATATGCTGCTGCTATATACCATAGAGTTCTTTCATTCTTCTCCATCATTCAAGAGCTGTTAAGTAAGGAGGCCACGATAGAACTGGATAATTAAAATAAGGCATTTTTGCAGTGCCGAGGCTTGAATTGAGTTGCCGAAGATCAACACGAAATGCCGACAAGAACAGACGACGTCGCTTCGCTCTCGTGTTCTGAACGGCAAAACAGACAGCAATCACTGAAGCTTGGCTTAGGGACAAATCTACTATTCTCTTGCCTGATAACTGGTATATAGCTAACTCCATCGGCGATGCTTTGGCCCAAACGAAGTGTCCTTCGCCCAGTCTCGGCGACTACCTGCCTCGTCCCTGTGTTCCCAGCGTTTAGACATGATACCCAGTATCTCGCTCGACCGCACTCTACAAATGCGCAAGGAAACACTGCACCAGGCATAGCTGGCAAATTCCTAGCCAAGTTCCAATCCATCGGGCCTCAAAAGCGGACGCAGGTCCTGGACGCAAATCAACTACAGCTTCTTTCTCTAACGCTAAACAAGAACCACTTATATCCAGGATATCCTCCGCTGTCTTTTCCTCCCTCTCAAGCAGCAAACCAGAGCGCATCAGTACTAGCTACGGGGATTCCAGTTCCACCAGGCTATCATCTGGTCTATTTTACTCCGCAGTTTTTAGAGGAGCACCTAGGGCCTGATGGGACTGACGTATCTTATAATCCAGATCCTCCTTTTACAAGAAGGATGTGGGCTGGTGGAGAGATGATATGGCCGCGGGATAGAGGTGATAAACGGCCAAATCTGCTTAGGGCTGGCCAGATAGTGACTGAGACAACCAAGCTTCTAAGCGCAGAACCAAAGATTATCAAGAAAACCGGAGATGAGATGATTGTTGTTGGTGTGGAAAAGACCTTTGAGAATGAAAATGGAGTTGCTTTGATAGATAGACGGTAAGTCTCCGGTTGTGGCACTTTTGATCGAGGAGCGTGTGTACTTGGGTGTGATGGTTAATTGATATACTCCAGCAATTGGGTATTCCGCAAAGCTCTCAAGGCCTCACCTCCAGGGAACACACCCTCGAGGCAGATACCCCCTGTCGTTAACACGTTGAATTCACCGGGATCCCTTATTCCTACAACTTCAACAAACAATGTCTACACTCTTAGCTTGAAACAGTCGCCAGTGACCTTATTTCGGTTTTCTGCGCTTACTTTCAATCCGCACAAGATACATTACTCAGTGCCCTGGGCACAAGATGTTGAAGGTCATAGAAACATAGTGGTCCACGGACCATTGAACTTGATATCCATGCTCAATTTTTGGAGAGAGACACGAAATAGGGGTGATAAAGACCCAGAATTAATCATTCCAGAACGCATCAAGTACAGGGCGACACATCCTTTATATGCTGATGAGGAATATCGCCTTGTTCTTGAAGATACACCAGAGAGCTCAAAAATCGATATATATAATCTCGAGGGCAAAGTCAGTATGAACGCGGAAATTATTAACTAAGTAATACGCGTTGTTAGCCTTGACTAGTTATAGACTTTCATAGATGGAGATCGATATAAATATTCTGTATTCTATAGCTTCAACTTCCCCCATATTTGATGGCCCGGCCCGCTTTTGGTACATCTTGTTAACTAAGTTAGTTTGCATGTTCGTGTTTCGCGAACTGCCGGCACTAAATTTGAACTTCAACACTCACCTTCGGACGCTGGCACGCTGGGCCATAGCAATCAATAGGTAACGCCGGCACACCTATACAATTGACTACGATTTCATGCTAATTCTGCTGTTTTGATACCTAGAAATATACCCGGGCTACCCGTTGTGTGCCAATCCCGAAGTTATGCGGGTAGCTCCTCTCACGCCGCTGCTGAGAACGGCCACCAGGTCGCAACACACGACCTTCTCAGCCAGACCGATTATAATATCCCAGAAGAGACAATTCAACCTCCCTTCGCTATCCTCATTTGCACCGCAATTTTCTGCGCCCGAACCACGCAGCCTTTCAGCGACCCGTACACTTCCATTTGGGCCGTCGCCTCTTTTCCAAACAATCTCCTCCATCGATGCCTACAAAGATTTCCTCCCCTTCCTTACAGAGTCAAAAGTGACTGCTCATGACCCCAAAACCGGCTATCCTACGCGCGCATATCTAACGATTGGATACGGGCCACTGAGCGAGACCTTTGAGTCAAAAGTTGAGTGTGATGAGACAAAGTGGTTTGTGGGAGCTAGGAGCGGTGATATCGCTCTACAACACAAGCAGCCAGGCAGTAACACAAAGGGAGAGTGCATATTTGAGCATTTGGATACTATTTGGAAATTGGAACCATTAAAATCGAACTCGAATGGTGGTGAGAGGACCAAAGTTGATTTGACTGTTCGCTTTCAATTCCGGAGCCCACTGCATGCAGCTATGATGACCGCAGTTGAGAGCCAAATGGCCGGATTGATGATTGAAGCATTTGAAAAGCGGATGATTGAAGGTGGAAGGAGGTGAAACCGAAGAATCTATATATACATCTTCTTCGCTTGGGTTGCATCTGGGAGTTTATTTTTTGGGCATTAGACTATTTAGATATCATAGCAACTGGGTGGACATGGGAGTCCAGAGGATAGAGAAGTATATATCCGTTTTCTAGTGTTAAATAAAAGAACAGGTGTATAATACAGGATAGAAAGCATCCAAAGAACTCCATCAATAGCGTGACCCGAACGGCTTCTGTTTCCTACTCGTGTCAAATGATGATTCCGGCCCAGCTTGCTTATAATTCTGAGCAACTTCTTCCCAGTTAATCTTATCCCACCATGCCTCTAGATATCCAGCTTTCCCACCAATTCCCCAGTCTCTTAGCCATACGTGCTCCCAAGTATTAACACAGAGTATGGGGTGAATATCAGCGCCACCAGGAGCGAGATATTTCTGTTGTGCGAAGGGCCCCATGGAACCATATGTTCGGGATGCAATTCTTCCAACAGCCTCTAGGTTCTCACCGCCAGTTATTCCGGTAGTCTGAGTGGCCATGTCTACTGGCTGACGTCGGAAGTGTGCTTGAGGATATGGGGAGCCGGCAATATAGGTTGCTAGGATCTTCAATTGGGCGGTATCTTTCATCTTGACTAGCCAAACGAATCCAGGTCCAAACATGGCATTGGCAGTCGCAATGAATTCTTCTTTAAGCGATTCGACAGAGGAGCATGATTCAGTGATAGCTTCTTCGAGTTTTCCTGGGATTGGGACGGTTTCAGGTGACTGTGTTTTGCAATCGCGTTAGAGTCCAGCTCCGAAAAAAAAAAAAAAAAAAAAAAAACGACCAGGTAGAAATGGTAACCCACTAAACAATTGAAATAGAAATGGTTGTTGTGCGCCATGGAGGCGTAGTTGAAGAGAGAAGCCATGCTGGCCTGGCGAGCGTATTTGATCAAAAGGGTTCCTGGTCCGACATTCTCATCCGCAGTACCTTTAAGTCACGATTAGCTTCCACAATCAAAACTGCCACACTCGATTGATAGCTACAAGTATCAGCCAAAGACTAACCTCCGGTGAGCATATTGAGTTTCTGCACGAGGTACGATTGGTATTGTACCCAGGCAAGGTTGTAACCCTCTGGAGAGAGGACTCCCGGTACGCCATGTTCTTGGAAATGGGTGCCGTATGTTAATTGAGGGACTCGATGGAAAGATCTACTCTGGACCTGGGGCCGTAGGGTGCACTATATATCCGCATTGGTTAGCAGACGCTCGAATTTCAATGCAACCTGGAGACCATGGCTGGACAAACCCGAGATGCAGAAGCCAGCAGACCAGCCTGCTGCCGTATTGACCGCTGGAAAAGCATCACTAGCCGTCCTCCCCTGTAAAGCTCTTTCAATTGAAACCAAAGCCAGCGTATCAATGAACACAACAACAACAACAACCAAAACGCTGCCTTTTCGACCTTTTTACTTGCTTGACTTTCTTTCCTTTTTGGGAACTTTTTTGAAGAAATGCGGCCGGAACGCGGAAAAATATTTCTCCAAAGTTAGCGCCGGCCGGAGCAAGCTTCAGCCAATCAGAGCGCGAGGAGCACTTGACTTCATGACAACTCGAGACGTCCAAGCAAGCAAAATAGCAACTGCCAGCGCGAGACGGAGAGCTGCAGACCAACCATTGACGATGGAGCCGGCGGACGTGGAACTCGATGCTCTCCCGTTCTTTGCTGGTCTCCCCCGGGGCCGGGCTCGTTGCGATCATACGAAGAAAGTTTCAACTTCGCGCCGGCCGGTGTGACCTACTGGCAGGCATACTTGCATAGTCCACTTCTTCAGGGCGCCAGGGTGCGGAGGAAAGCCTCGAAAAGAGTCAACTTCTAGCCGCCCACCATCAAAAGGTCATGGACAGACCCTTGATGAAGATTCTAAAAAGGCCCAATTCTGGCGAGAGTTCAACTAGGGGCTATAGCCATATAACCCCAGGGACTCCCCTCCTTTATTGTCCTTTCTGAAATGTTCCTGCTGTTTCCTTCTCACTATACTCTTTCATTCATGAACTCTGTCTCTAGAGATCTTTATATATAAGCTGTCTATATCCTTTAATTATTCTGGTTCTGCTGGTACAGAACTCACTGCCTCGCCGTGTTCATTCTTTATGTTTCCATTGGCAATATTCAATATATCTTTACCACTCAAGGTATCCCACCAAATCTTTGAACCCGGTTCTTTGCGATGGTGAAATCGCTATTCATTACGCTCTACCTTTCCTTATTATATTGTTGCTGCGGTACAGCTAGCAGTTTAAAATCAGGCGCAGTGCCTGGCCTTTTCCCTCGGGAACAGATATGTGCAAAGTCAGGCTTCGTACAATGTGGAAATCCTAATGTCCCCAAGAACTTCTGCTGTTCAGAAAATTCCGACTGCTTGGTTATAGACAATGCAAGCACAGTTATCTGCTGCCCCAGGGGATCTGACTGCAAGACCATCCGGCCAATTACGTGTGACGTTCAACTGCAAAACGTCGCGGTAGACCCCGGAAGCTCCATCAAAACCACAAAGTTGACGGGAGATCTACCAAAATGCGGTAGCATGTGCTGTCCACACGGATATGCTTGCCAGAATCGGAGCTGTGTGCTCGTTAATGCATCCTCAGAGCCCGTTCGATCTCCGGAACCCGCCCCGTCAGCCTCGATATCCATTTCTCCAACAGCCCCTTCGTCCTCTACATCTAAACCCAATTCAACGGAGGCGCCAGCGACCTCCCCCGCCGCAGAGCAAAAATGCAATAATTTCCCACCTGGCGCGATCGTGGCGGGCTTCGTTCCAGGAATCGTCTGCGGGATTATAATCAGCGTGATATTCAGTTGCCTAAAGAGAAAGTCAGCTGAAAAATCCCAAGCCTTGCATCCTGACGCTGGGAATTATCGACAAAAGTCTGTGGATGGTACTGTGATCTCGATATCAGACCCCATGCCGTCCAGTGCACAAGATTCCTTTAGGACCGACTTCCTACGACAACAGGCAAGCTACTACGAGTCTGAAAATAACAATAACCGTCGGTCACGCATTCAACGTACAAGTGATCGAGTCAGGAGCCTCTTTGCTCCAAAATTTTCCGTCATAACAGACCCGCCACCTCCAGATGTTCCGCAAATGCCAGCAACACCACAGAACAGGGCATTTCCGCAACGATCGTCCAGCACTGAAAGCATCAAGGTGTACAGCCCTGTGTACCTGGGAAATGAAAATCGATTGAAGCCTCCAATTGGCTTGACCGCATCGGGAAGACCGCCAACTACCTTCACCGAAATGATGGAGCGGGTTGGGTTTCAAAATGGCCGAGGAAGTCCTTGCTACCATGTTTCGAATACGCCGCCACCACCAATCTCGAAAACTTCTACTGGAAGCCCATTAAAGCAGATATAGCTAGGAACT